TTGATTGGTTCAAAAAATTATATTTGTGTCAAACCGTAAAAGTGCCTATACCTTTATGAGAGTTATTGAGTAGCGTTTTAAAAAACGAATATAACAATGGCATAATATTTTCTATTTTACGCTAGGTGCGGTTTTATAATATTCTTTCACTTCAAACTAAACTGCATTGATTTCCAATTATTTAAATTGTTACCAACCTGCTACTGTGAAACTAAAACGTTCTGATATCACCTATTCAAATAAGTGATATCACCTATTCGAATAGGTGATATCACCTATTCAATTTGAATGATATCACCAATTCGAATAGGTGATATCACCTATTTGCATTTCTTACAAAAATAAATAATGAATGCCCCCTTCCTCAAGACTATCTAGATTTCCATTGGAACCAAGCAAATTCGGGCTGTCCCGTTTTTTCCCTGTAATTGAGTCCGAAGCATTTTAAATACCTTATGTTATCGACCCCTGTAAAGTTATATAAATTTAATAAATTATACCAAGCTGGGGTACAAGAGAGTGGCATACCTTTCTCTCTTAATTATGTAAAGTGGGGCATTTTCCGTATGGAACAGTTATCATGCGTTTCTCAGTCTATCTGGTCTTCTAAGGCAATCTCTCAATTTAACACTGTGACGTACCCCTCCCCCTTTTTTTGGTCATACTGCAAACAGAAATTTGTGTAAAATATAAAAATGTGTATTTTTCGGATGCTTTTTTAATTTATATTTTAACATGTCATTAATATTCAAATACTCAACTTCCTCGGTCATGTTCATTGTATAAAATAAAGTAAAATTTGTAAGCTGATAGTCAGTTTTGAAATTTATCTCCAAAGTCCTGTTGAAGGGGTCGACCAATGTCAAAGACATGTGATACTAAATTGACAATTTCTTGGCTATTTCTGGACCAAATTTAACTTTGTATACACCAAACTGTTTGGAATTTTGTCCTCCTTGCATCTAGACACCAGAAAGTGAAATAAAGAAATGTTTTATTTCCTTTAAGGTAGCTAAACACAGTTTCGTATAAAATCCAGGGGTTTTTCTCAGAGAAAAGCATGATGGGTAGGGGTTTCCCTGCTATTTTTATGCAGTGTACATGAAAATTGCAGCTTTTTTATTTTTATTTGCATAAAGTAATGTCTTATCTTAAGATTAAATGAAAAAGGTATACAAATATTTTATGAGAATTAATTTTTGTGTGACTTTTTAATAGTGGGAGATAACTCTAAAAACACCATTTTTCACATGTGCCGAATTTACAGACGGTCTTGATAAATTCTGAAATCGCCATTACTCATAACTAATTCAAAATAATTATTTTCCCTCATATTTTCATGTAGAATTATTAAACTACACTTAGATTATCTATTTCAAATGAAACCGGCATCAAATTCCACTTTCTACTGGTTTTACAGGCGATAAATATGTTAGTTCTGATAAATTCTGAAATCGCCATTTTGAAGAGCGACTCAAATCACTGATGCTCATAACTAATTCAAAATAATTATTCTCCCTCATATTTTCATGTAGAATTATTAAACTACACTTAGATTATCTATTTCAAATGAAACCGGCATCAAATTCCACTTTCTACTGGTTTAACAGGCGATAAATATGTTAGTTCTGATAAATTCTGAAATCGCCATTTTGAAGAGCGACTCAAATCACTGATGCTCATAACTAATTCAAAATAATTATTTTCCCTCATATTTTCACGTAGAATTATTAAACTACACTTAGATTATCTATTTCAAATGAAAACTGCATCAAATTCCACTTTCTACTGGTTTTACAGGCGATAAATATGTTAGTTCTGATAAATTCTGAAATCGCCATTTTGAAGAGTGACTCAAATCACTGATGCTCATAACTAATTCAAAATAATTATTTTTCCTAATATTTTCATGTAGAATTATTAAACTACACTTAGATTATCTATTTCAAATGAAGCCGGCATCAAATTCCACTTTCTACTGGTTTTACAGGCGATAAATATGTTAGTTCTGATAAATTCTGAAATCGCCATTTTGAAGAGCGACTCAAATCACTGATGCTCATAACTAATTCAAAATAATTATTCTCCCTCATATTTTCATTATGAATTATTAAACTACACTTAGATTATCTATTTCAAATGAAACCGGCATCAAATTCCACTTTCTACTGGTTTTACAGGCGATAAATATGTTAGTTCTGATAAATTCTGAAATCGCCATTTTGAAGAGCGACTCAAATCACTGATGCTCATAACTAATTCAAAATAATTATTTTCCCTCATATTTTCATGTAGAATTATTAAAATACACTTAGATTATCTATTTCAAATGAAACCGGCATCAAATTCCACTTTCTACTGGTTTTACAGGCGATAAATATGTTAGTTCTGATAAATTCTGAAATCGTCATTTTGAAGAGCGACTCAAATCACTGATGCTCATAACTAATTCAAAATAATTATTTTCCCTCATATTTTCATGTAGAATTATTAAACTACACTTAGATTATCTATTTCAAATGAAGCCGGCATCAAATTCCATTTTTTAGTGGTTTTACAGACGATAAATATCTCAGTCTTGGTTAATTCTGAAATCGCCATATTGAAGAGCGACTCAAATCACTGATGCTCATAACTAATTCAAAATAATTATTTTCCTTAATATTTTCATGTAGAATTATTAAACTACACTTTGATTTTCTCTTTGAAGCTAAAACTGCATCCATTTTAATTTCCTTAAGTTGGTACAGACCGTGAACTAGTAGCTTCTGATGGAATTCTGACGAGCGACCGAAATCACCGATGCTCATAATTTATTCATAATAATTATTATTCGAATTTTTTCTCTAGACTTATTAAACTAACCTTTTATCATCTACTCTTTGTCATAACTGCATCCAATTTTTAAGTTGTTAAAGATGGAAATATAATTCTGGTACTTTTGAAGAGCGACCGAATAACTAAATAAATTTAAAATAACGTTTTCCGATTTTTTCCATAGAAATATTGAACTACACTTAGATAATCTACTTTAAATCAAAACTGCATCCCATTTTACTATTTAATGTTTTAACAGAAGGCATACTAGATCTAGTCGGTTCGTATAAAACAATTGAACATGAAACTGTAATTTTGAAGAGCGACTTGAATCACCGACGCTCTTGATTTGTTTAAGATAATGTTTCTTCAATTCTTCATATTCAGATTTATTAAACTCAAAATTTATATCAGCTACATAAAATTAAAACCACATCCATTTTTTTTCTCTTTCTTATCATTTCGCCGGACAAGTGGCCAACCATCCTGAACGTATTTAAAATTATTATGTCGTCATTATTTATTTGTTCAGAATTATTTTCCCGTTGTTTAATTTATCTGTTAAATAAAAAAAATAGGTCGAAATGAGATAAAAATTATCACTATATTCTGGTGAAATACAGGTATTTATGGTTCATTGAAGACAAAATACAAGTGTATATAATGAAGTGGTTATCAAAACACACTTCACACCTTTGGTAAAAAATGACCACGGGGAGCTGTGTTTGTGAGTTATTAACATACAGGTAATTGTTGACACCTGTCTAAGATAACGCCCTGGGCATGGTTCACACCTGTTGAAACAAATGACTGAGAGATTGTTAACCGTAGCATGTTTTCCCCCCTTCTTTTTTTTTTAAATATATATTCAATTTACAAAATTTTTAATTAAATTTGAAGTCGTTTATTTCCTTGTAGAAAATAAATAGATTTTAGAAATCTAAAACATCATTGAATAATCCTATACGAAGAAAATTCAATATTAAGTTTTAAATAACATATATAATTGTTTTGCATACTTTTAGGATTAAAATAAATAAATAAAACACTAAAAGCTAAGACTTCGGATACTATTACCGTGGATTTAAAACCAGTAGAGCACCGCTTTGATTTGAAGCGACTAAAATCCCCAGGCATGCGCAGAGGCCAGTGATTAGAGTCGCTCTTTTCCCTATATATTCTATTAAGAGCGACCCTGAGCACTAGCGACAGAAATCACGGTTACAAGCGGCACCTCGATCTAGAATCCAAACCAAACCTCCCAGTCACGAAGCGAGCACACAACCACGTGACTACCGCGCTGTAACTTTGTAAAACAGACAAAAATGTGCTACCATATCTGTGCAAAATGTAATAAAATGCAATTATGGCATGTTGTTATGAGATCACCAAAATGCAGCATCTCATACTTGTCCGATACATTTTGTGAAAAATGAAATATTACTTTCTTAAATAAAAACTTTTATTTCCCACAATTTTAATACATGCTATTCAAAATAAATGTTTATTGATTGCACTATGTTGTAAAAGTAGAGTTTACTGTGGAGTCTAATGAAAAAAAATGCAACAGGGTTATAATAATTAGTAGTTATCATGTCAAATATATTTTATTTTTATACACCCACTCAGTAAAGCAAAAATTTTACAAACTAATTGTAGCTTTAAGAGAGAGGTCAAATTAACAGTAAGTAAACCCACGCACTTTAAAAAAAAAAAAAAATCATGGAATTGTAAATGTTTTGCAGTCTGGCATATATTTTTTCTCTATTCAAAGAAAAATCGGTACAATAATACAAGAGTAATATTTCTGCGCAATTTTTTTTTAAAATAAATTGTCCGGGCGACAGTTGATGGGGAGTATCTTTTTTCATATCAATTGGTATAGTTTTTCGCGTGTACATCCCTTGATTGTAAGTATATATAGACAACCGGAAAAAATATTCATACCTTTCTCTGAAAAGAATATTTTTTGCTATAGAATTATTTCTTTTAAGTGTTTATGATATTTTCTTTTACATAGTTAGTACTATGCCATAGTTGTGTTTTTGTTGCTTTAAGGACTAGCTCTCTACACTTAATTACATGTAGGTAAAATCGCGTCTTCAAACCAAGTATCAAAATTATGAAATCAGTATACGATATCTAAAATCAATTATAATAATTATAATAATACAAAATTCAAATGTTTAAACATAGTGTTTATTGTTGCACATGTTCTTAGAGCACTCTTGTAATAATTATACAAAGAAACATCTACAGTGTTGGTCAATACAGTGCCATTTGCCATTACGTCCGAAGATTCTACAATGTCCTGAACAATCACTAGCTGTTGAGCAAGCTACAATAGAAGGTGTTTAACATGTAAGACTCTAATAATAAATATTTTACACTGCTGTCCTGTGAATATTTGCCATTATTGCATATACGTGCTAAACTGTAATATTATCTGATAGTGACTTGAGTTATTAAAAATGACGTTCGGAAATCTAAAGACTGGCTTTGCTGAATACTCCAAAACGAGCTATTTTCAACCCGATTTAGGCCCATCTCTGCAGCTGAAACTAAGACGCAAGGGCGTAAACATTGCAATAAATATGACGTCACAATGGTTTAGAACGTCGAAATACATGCACGAGGCTTAATTAGTGCACTGACCGAATAAAGCTTTGGTTTATTAGGTTATATTTATCAGGTCAATACAAAGTGTAGTTGCAGGATAAACTACATTAAAAGATTTAAATTGTACATGATATAATTTTGAAAGTTTGTGCATTATTATTATATTTGTCGATGCAAGTACGCTAGAGGAAATATCTAGTAATATGAAAGACTCTAACATATATCCCTATCGTATTTCCTATCATATTACCTATATACTGATAGTTTTGTTTAAAAAAATACTGAGAAAAAAATTATTGGTCTAAACTTTTGAGTGATTATACATTGAATATTCCTTGAAAACACTTGTTTTCTGTTTAACTGTTTTGAACGACCATACGGTTTCATTGTGGCTTCTAGAATAGTTTTAAAAGACAGATGTTAGTAACTTAATGGAGAATTAAATTTACCTCCTGCTGCGCATGTGCACTGGCCACTGTGACACTCCAATGTATGCGCAGAATCACAGCTTGTATTTGAGCAGTCACCAACACTACTACATGTCTCAGCACTGATGTACTCTGAAATACAATCATAAATGTATCCTATGTAGAATTCTGTATTCAGTGAATACTGTACATATAAGAGTTGCTTTTTTTTTTTTTACTTTAGATTTGATATAAATGGTTTTAGATCTACTATAGGTGGAAATTGTTGGTAGCCATACAGTATCAAGTAACACTTCAAAAATTTAAACTCTGGGGTCATTTTATTATTATACTAAAACTATGTTTCATTTCCTAATGTATTTTACAATTATATTTGGCCTTTTCTTCATGTACTGTTACTGGGACTTTTTCTTGAGGTATTGGATTTACATTAATTTATTTCCCCACCTCCCATTTTTAGTATGTTGTTTTATTTTATTAATTTTGGATCGTGATCTTTTCCCGGGACTTGTGGGATGCATTTTAATTTTTTTTATGCGCAGTGATGTAAATAAAGTAACTGTAATAAAAATATTGAAAGACTTCCTTTTTCGTTGTTTGACAAATTCAGACGAATATACCAGTTAAACATTTGAAACCGCTTGGAGAGAGAGAAAAAAAATATTACAGGTGAAAGACTCTTTACCTCTTGGCCGCCCTACACAAGTCATTTTAAGTCCTTAAACTTTCTGAAATTTTACGCATCGGGACAAAGTAACATATAGAGTTACATGTAGTTTAACACGTTTGAGGAAACTTACAGAAAACATTTTACATGAACAAGTCGTGATTGGTTGTTTCATTTTTGGCTTCCCATGACAACACTTGCTTTGTTGCCTTGCTTCGGATTGGGACAGAAACAAACGTTAGGCAAGTTAACACTTAAACAATGACAAGTTTTTGGCTTTATGGCTTGTTAATTAATAACTTGATTAAGTTCCCTTACCACGTCGGTATTGAAAAACAAACACTAAATTTTCCGTTTAAATGATGACTCCCATGCCGTAATTCTTTATCACTTGGAATTGAAGAGTTCCTTCAATGTGTCTTTTTTTGGATACAGGTTTATGTACAAAAAAAATGCTTCACACAACTACATGTATTAAAAACAAATTAATCTAATACCAAAGATTGAGAATTACATTTGAATAATCGTAAAAAATGAATTTTTAAAAGATGTAATTAGATTGGGGGGGGGTAAATTTGATAAATTATGTTGAAATAATTACTTTAAAGGTGTAAATATGCTTTACTTCCCTTTTATGTGCAAAATATTGCGCAAAGCAAACCTCAATCGGCCCCCTTAATTTACTCTATTTTTATTTGGCTACAACACTTTACATTTTTAAAAACATTATTACTTTGATTATATGCAAAATGTACGCCAAGTATCGTTTTACATTAGACGATTTGGTACGGACCATATCACTTAACGTCATTACAGTGCAAGATATTTTTTTCTTACACAGGCATGGAGCACAACTTTATTTTTTTAACATCTTAAATAAAGGTTAACATTCCGATATACTTACGGACAACACACAGTACCAGGAGAACAATGGCGACCTTCATTGTTAGATTTATTTGTACAGATATC